TTAATTTCGAAGCTTCGAATATTCAAAGTAGATAAAAAGTAACAGTCCTAGTTATAACCACTTTTATATTTAAAAAATTGTAATTTATTTTTCATAATCATAATTAAAATAACATTCATAATTTATAATAATGATCATAATTAGTCATAATTCATTTTTTTCTCGGATTTACCATGTGGAGGCATAGTTCGCTTAACATCTCTCTTTTTTAATTTTTTAATTTTTAATTTTTTCTTCTCAATTTTTCGATATTTGTAAATACGATTACATTATTTTTACAATGAAGGATAAACATAAACAGGTATTTAAATCAAATTAAATAAGATGTTCAAAATGACCACCTTCAGCACGAATGCAAGCCCTTATTCTTTTATCAAAGGAATTCGGAACTATTTGAAAAACATTTGGATCCTTCCGAAACTATTACTATTAATATTTGATTAATTAAACTTGATTCAAATACCTATTTCTGTTTATCTTTCATTCTAAAAATAATGTAATCATATTTATAAATATTGAAAAATTGAAAAAAAAATTTAAAAAAAATTAAAAAATTAAAAAAAAATAAAAAACAGAGATGCCAAGACTATACCTTCATGTGGTGAATCCTGGGTACAAAAATTATTATGATTAATTATTATGATTAATTATGATTATTATTATAAATTGTAATTGTTATTACGATTGTAATTATGAAAAATAAATTACATTTTTTTAACATAAAAGTGGTTGTAACTAAAAAACAATTTAGTTCGGGACTTATGTTAATATAACCTTTTTTCCTTCTTTTTGGGTCACCTCCCGAAGTATTGCAGGCAATTTACTGGACACTCTGTATATTCAGCTTCAGAAGGAAAGTCTTAATTTGCAATCTGACACAGAAGTCCTGCACTATGCATATTCTTCGATTTTAACGAATTTTAAATGGCAACGTTAGTGATTTATTACGCTTAATTCGTCATAATATGATTTTATTTTTATATTTATATCTTTGGATTTTATCATAACGGACATACACATTTAACGATATTAACATTCCATACATGACAATAGAGAGATCAAGATCGTTTAATACAGTTTCAAGATCTTTTAACGCATTTTAGAATTATCACTACTATTTTTTGTGCTCATTATTATTATTTGCAAATTGACTTGGTCTGGTTAGTGGTGAGTATGTGTGTTTCGTAAGTTTTTATTGATTAGAATTTTAAAAATTTGAACATCATCTTTGATATAGATGATGTCTGCTTTTAATTTTGAAATTAAAGGCTTATCTTACACACTGCAGAACATATTTACATCGACTAACGGAATAATTTGACATGGCGTACTGTAACATTTTTCAAATTGCAGACTATATTGAAGTCGATTAGCGGAATAAATTATCGAAACTAATTGATATTGTATCGTTTAATGCTGAAGAAAGCCTGAAGGAGGCCGAAATGTACATACAAAGAGAAACATTGTATGAAGATGTAACTATACAAGGAGATAAAATTATTTTACGCACTAAGTACCGTGTTTTTGCTGACTCTTAATGCCCAATTATTATATTATACTTAAAAGTTGTTTTTAATTGAAAAGTCTTACATATTATACATTAATTTTGAAATTATATATAACGTTTATATAACGTATATAAATGTGGTATTTAATATAGCTAGTTTATTAATAATAAATTATTATAAATCGGTAACAATAAATAACGGCCAGGACTTTACGGAGCGCGTAACGGAGCTTTGTATTTCTCTCAACATTCAAAAGCGACACTGACTCTCGTGTCGAGATTGTTGCAAACTATCGAACTATGCAAACATAACACAGGAAATAAGATCGCTATACCTAAAGATCGCTTTAACCGTTAAATCAAAATATTCAACCTTGCCGATTTCTGGAAATAATATATCTAATTATAAGGTTGAATATCCTACATGAAACCACTGTGTGTTACTTGCAATAAGGCTAATAATATCTAAGATATAACAATATGAGTATATGAAAAAGTATCTATTTCAATATAGTGCTCGTAAATTATCTTATACATTCATTTAAAATAAAAAAATATCAAAATATTTTTTATTCTTTATAAATTTGGTTATTATCTATATTAAAATTGTCTTATAAAAATATAAAGAACAATAGTATTTAAACAAAGTTTGCATTTACATTATTTCTGAATATAAACAACAATAAAAAAATCAAATTTAAAAAAAATTAAATTTATCATGGTAAAAACTAAATATATTAAATAAATATGTTTAATTTAAGTAGAATTTGAAAGGACCGAACATTCATTCGCATTGTAAGCATTATTGTAAGCATTTAAAGTATATAGTTTCGACAATAATGTGTTTTGCGTACGTTTCATCACTTTAATTTTTTATTTTTACTTACACTCGTATAAATAACCCTAGAAAAATTTTTTTTTCTAATTTCTTGTTCCTTTATTTAATACTGGCTTTTAGCATAGAATCTTTATTCTAATTACTTGATTATTGAGATAAAAAATGATTTTTAATTTTATAATTTTATTTATGAATTTTGCACATATTAAAAAAGTATTAAAAAAAAAAACAATTATTTCATTGTTATTTTTGTAACATTTCTTAAAGTAATGAATTTTAAAACTCATTTTCTGTTTTTACAAAAATAACAAAATAATAAAATGTAAATTACCTGCTGTAGCAAGTCTTTTAGATTTTACTTATTTTTAATATTTAAAACTATATTAAAAATATTTAAGAAAATACAAAATGGTTTTAAAAAATTTTAATTTTTGTATAAGTACTTTAAATAAAATTGATATATTTATGTATTATCTCCATTAAAAAAGTAAGTAATTCTTTCTAACTTTTAAATTTACATAAAATCGAATTTTCAAGGAAAGACCGTATTAAAAGTTCACTGATTATCTCATTATTATGATTTTAGACACAATGTTAATATATACATATATTCCTCACATCAATCCTCGCATTTTTAGATGCCAGTACACGATGCCTTTATGAGCCATAGTGTTTGAATGGTTAATAAGTATGTGAGAAAAATTAGTTATTGCGTATTAGACGAAGGGTCTCACTCTTCTTTTACATCTTCTATGTACATTGGGTATGCTGTTAGAGGATGTCGCGTAAAACTTTTTCATGCCATTATAATATCGTTCTTATATTTCTCTCTTCTCTTGGTACATCAAGTCAATTGTTAGTGACCCAGTTTAGCAGCGTCATCCTTTCACCAGTTTCAGGTGGGGAAGTGTTTCCACTTCAATTTACCTACATTTCTCCCAATGAGAAGAGATCGCAAAACTTTTCGCGTATCCTAAGCAGAACAGGTCATAATAATATCAAAATGAATCGTGACTGATTAAAAAGTGACTTTTAATAATCATTTTAAAGTCATTTTGATATAATTTTGTCATGATGATTTTTTATTCTGCTTAAGATATGTTTTATTGATATTCATACTTTAATAATTATTTATATATCCATTTTTTTATTAAAAAGATCTAAATAAATATTTCTTTTAACAAGTATGTACACACGGTTAAAGATCAATATTGTGTTGGAGTATAATCTAATAAGGCAAAGAGAGCTGTCTATCATTATTTGGCAATGAAAAGCAACAATATTTGTCAATATGTATTTTCTGTGCAGTTCAAGGATTTAGCCAATCAAATGGCTTTCTATGAAAGAGGTTAGTAATCATGCAACATTTGCCGGATATTCACATTGCAGCATCTGATTTTACGCAATGTCATTTAATAATAAAATTGTTTAGTCAACGAAAACTTCACGCAATACCCTTTAAAAAATAATATAATACATCAATGTATTATAATATAAAAATTTTAGTTAAAATAATAAAAATTAATGTATATGATTATATACAAATCGAATTATATAAAAATATAATTTAATTTAATTTATAATTACATAGTTTTATTTTAAAAATTATTGATTACGTTAATTTTTCATAAAAAATTCATGGTAAAATGTGTTTCTATAATGTTAGACTATAATATTTTTTTAAATAATGCAACTGTTTTCATATTTATTTTTTTAAATAATGTAATTATTCTCTTATTATTAGATATTTTCTTGTAAATTTAATAAATAAAAAGTTATTTAGACAGCAATTTCTGGTAGTTCATTATGTGAATAAACATATAATGTGTTTGGTTCAAGTATTATGTACACTCAGTTAGTTTTTAAATTAAAAAAAGCAATGTAGTCACCGATCACTAATTTTTTTGCATTTAATTCTAGAAACAAATTTGCAAAGTACATTTTGCAATCTATACATGCATTTACCGTTATTGTGTACAATGTAATCACAGGTTACGTACTGGAACGAAGTTTCACCGCATTCGTTTTAGCTACTTTCTTGCACTATCTGTACTTAAAATAAAGCTAGTATACATCTTGCTTTAGATAGAGAAAGATGAAAGTACAGAGAGTGTAACTGTAAAGAATCCTTTTCTCTTTCTTTCTTTCTCCCTCTTTTTCTCTCTTTCTTTATTCTTTTTTCTCTTTAAAAAGAAACAGATCTTTCGTTAATGATCTTCATTCTGATCATTAAAAATAAAGAGACTGAATATAATTTATATAATTTATATAAGATATTCTAGAAAATAGGAAATGATAAATACGTCATGTATACGATTATTAACATACGAAAATTTTTTTTTAACATCATTGATATTTTTACATAGGCATTTTCAAAAAATATGTATGACATTTCATTCAAAAAGGTAACTGCTACGTCAAGCTATTATTTTTACTCGCGAACTCTTTTTATTGAAAATCTTATATGTCTCCTCAATCTTGTACTCTCTCCAGTTATTTTCCTTGTCTCCATAGTCCTGACGGATGACTTGTACTATAGTCAAGACCTCACGATCTGACGTTTCCACAGTGCGCTTGATAATTCGGGCGTACTAGAAGCCGCAGTCAACATTTGCCGGTCACTTAGTGCACATTGCGAAGCATAGATATATACACACGTATATATATATATATATATTTATTCATTTTATTTTAAAGATAGTAGCTAAAGTAAATTCAGTAGAACTTTGATCTAGAACGTTTATTTTCTGCCTCATCGATACTTTTTGTGTACAATTGTTAAGTGTGACTTTTGTAAAGCTGCATCATTGAAGGATCGAATGTTCAGATGTTTCATTAAACAAAAGATAATCATTGGTAAGAACTGTAAGATTATACACATTATACATATAAAAGATTATATTCTATCTGATATTGAATTTTAAATACACATTCTTCAATTATATTTAAAAATTTTTTTAAAACTTATACATACGTATATATAAATAAAATGAGAAAATAAAATAGTAAAAACTGAAAATATTTTTAAGATATATTGATAAAGAATCATATTTCGATAATTGCTATTTAATTGCTATTTCTTACTATAATTACTGTTTAAGCATATTTTTTATTCGTTTATTACAGAATTTTTACTGCAAAAACTTTTTAAATATGCATTAAATATATTAGTAACATTCTGTACGTTATAAAAAAGGAAAGCATTTATAGCAGTATAAAATAAAAACTAGATCAAGAAATATATTATAGTAATATACACACACACACACACACACACACACACACACACACACTCTCACATATGTGTATACACATATATATATGAAATACAGTGTATTTTATAATAATTTTTTAATTAATGCATAAATGTACAAGAATTTAGTGTTTTATGCTTTCATAGATTACTAGAAGATTTAAATAAAAGGTACAACTTTCCATCGTGTTAGCTAGCTTTCACCAGTCAGCAGCTATGAATTTATCTAAGACGCTATGACTTGATGATCCTTCAATGCATTTCCATAACTACAAAAACAAATTAGCATAACAAAATAATGATACGCAAAAATTTAAACAAAATTTTCATTTTTAAAGTAATTAGATATAAATATATAAATTGTATCTATTAATCATGCATGCTTTAAATTTTTAATCAAATTCAAATATTAAGATTTTTTTACACGAGATACACTGTTAATAATAATAAACAAGTATTAATGACATAACATTTATTTTAGACAGAATAATTCACATTTCGGAATGAAATTCTAAGACTACGTTCGGGAAGCGAAATTATCAGTGCTATTATCATTTGTTTTCTAGAGCGACAGAATGTAAGTATCTAATTCTGTATATCATGTTTTTTTATACATGCATGTTTCAATATTGTATATATATATTTCTATTATTATAGGCTCTAATATTTCAAATATTTTTTATCTTACATGGTACATAAAATTGTATAAATCGGATTCTATTATAAATTTTTACTTAATTATCTGAAGTAGACTTAGATCGATATTACTATACAAGTTCTCGATTAATAATATACTTAGCATAATACTAAGTTGCAATATGTAGCGGAATTAGAGCAGAAAACGGATTCAAATATTTTTATCCATTAACATAGAAAACCATTATATATTTTATTTATTTTAATGTTGTTTGTTATATTTATTAACAATCATAATAAATTAATTTTTTATATTGTTCAACAAAAAAACGTGCAACACTGAAAATTGTAACAAATGGAACGAAGATACAATTATTTAATTATTATTGTTTTTTTGGGCACGATTTAACTCTTCGTGGTCATGCAGGTTTCATTGGACCCCATAAAAAGTTTGAGGCTTTATATCTTTAAGTTCTAAATGGGACCTGTCAGTCCTGAAGTTCAAGGTACCTTCTTACGTTTAAACACTTTAGACGCCAAGTATTGCTCCCTGCGCGTTAGTGTGCGTGTAGCAACCGTTTGCATAACATCGTGTTTGTGTTGAAGTCATTCTGGCACCAGTATAATCAAGACGTGACATTTTTTCTGAAAATGTCATATTTGTAAAATCTAGCCATACATTTTTATAAAAAGAATTTAAAGAGTTATGATTTTTTAAATAAAACTCATTTTTTAAAGATTTTTGCGCGATTTTTTAACATGTTAAAGTTAAAATTTTGATAAAGCCGCTGTATTTCTATGTTCTACCTTATTTAAAGTATGTTTGGTAATTTTTTTTTACTTCAAGGAACCAAAATTGTGATTATGGTAACCGATTAAATGTGTTGAGATCATTTTAATGTGACTATTACGGAACTTTCAAGAGGTGTGACCACGAAGTGTTAAATTCCTTTTTAAGAATTGAAAGGACTAACAACATACTTAATTCTGATTGCAATAAAACTTTCCAAAACTTTACATATTATAATTATATTATAATTATATTATATTAAAATATATAAAATACATATTTTACATATTATAATTATATTATAATTATATTATATTAAAATATATAAAAATAGCGTCTTTCTGCGATTTTAATAAAATTTTTCAAAATTGCGACATGATAGAATAATTTGGTAAACGAAATCGGCGCTTAAGAAACTATTAAGGAAACGAGTACTCTCGGAATTGTGCTCGAAAAAAGTCATTTTTTGTTATATAACGTTATTAATTAATCATATAATCATGTAATCATATATGTATTATTTTGATAAAATATTATTACGGAATAAATAGTAATGATAATAAATATAATAGATATAATTTTACAATATTTTTCAACAGTAGTAAATCATAAAATGATGACTGTGAAGGAAAGCATACATGTGATCTACGATTTTTTGCTGTTTATCGGCATGGCAATAGTTTATTTCACCGAAACTGTAGTATTAACGCTAGTTCCTCGTCGATATCGAGCAAAATCGATTAAAGGTGAAATTGCTCTTGTTACGGGTGGTGCTAGCGGAATCGGCAGACTAATCGCAATCAAATTCGCCCAACTTGGTGCACACGTAGTTGTTTGGGACATCAATAAAAATGGTGAGAGATTACGCAATTCCAAATAAATAATAATTAAATATATCAGGAAAGACTACTTACGAACTTAACAAACAATTAAGATCGTATGACACCTACACGGTACAAAGCGGATTTTAGTGCTTTGTCTATATAAATTAGTGTAAATTCTTACAATTTTCAGTTCATATAACACTACGTGGCCGCCCATCGTGTGCTTCTCCGCAGCTCGAACCGAGTAGTATGTAATATCACATTTAAATTGTCGAAGGCAATCTAATAAATTGATTTATTTTACTCGGAGAAGCACGCGATGAGCGGCCACGTAGTGTTATATGAACCGAAAATTGTAAGATTCACACTAATATTATATAGAAGCACCAAGATCCGCTTTGTACCGTGTAGGTGTCATACGATCTAAATAATAATTCTTTTCTTTAATTAAAATGTCACACACACACACACACACACACACACGCGCGCGCGCACGCGCGCGCGCGCGTAGGCGCGCGTATAACTCTGTGAAAAAAATCGTAGAGACCTCAAAAATTTTGCGTTCCTTTTGTCTCGAAAATCTCTTTAAAATGAGTCTTCTCTCGATCCCACATGCCACTTAAGATTTTCAACTCTCCTCTCCTCGTCCCCCTGGAGGGTTGAATTAGTGGATGTTTTCAAGATTAAATAATAGATTTCATGATGCCATTGTAACCTTACAAATTTCAATTCAATATCTCAAACCATTTAGAAATTATTCAGGTCACCTGTTTTTAATGCCTCACCCTGTATATGCACTTTACCATTTAAGATATTTGCATTTCATTTTCATACTTACAATCAAATTAGATCAGTATTACAAATATCTACTTAATAAAAGTATTCAAGTTGCTTGTTCAAGTTACTATAAAGAGAAGGTAACCTTATTAACGCTTAGAATGTATATATACGATAGCTATTACGTTGAATCTGAAACCAAATACAAATATTTATGTATAATTGGAATTTTGGATAAGTTAATATTTTACTTTAATTTAATTAAGTTAAAGTTAATGGCTTAGGAAATTAATTTAGTTATGTTAAAAGTTGTATGAACAAAAAAGTAATTTAATTATTTATTGATGCAATTCCGTCTAATGTTTTATTGAGAACGATATATTGTATACTGATTACAGAATGCGCAATTTTTACCGATTAGAAGATAACGATTGCAAAAGTCCTAGTAAGGATGAAACTAATTTCGTTTACGATTTTATGTTTGAGAAATAATTAATAAAATAATTTTTACATATTATTTAATTTCTCGTTTTGGCCGTTAGTCTTATTAATTATTGTATT